ATAATTCTTCCACAAAATAATTAAATCAAACATTTGAAAAATATTTTTTCCAAAAGGTTGAACTACACAAAACCATCTGTGAATATAAACTACAATAAACCGGAAAAAAATTTCTAGTCTGAAGTCGAAATCGATTCATTTTCCAATCAGTCTCGAAAACAGTCCCAATGCGTTTATGCAGAAGCTGCCAATATTCAAGTAGATATATCCTCAACGCCTTCAACTCATCCCCTTAATGAGCCAAAAACACAAATTCACAAATAAGCAGAATGGTTAGTTGACCATTCAAAAACACAAATTCACAACGCCATTCAACTCATCTCCAATAATATTCGAAATTCAGAGTAAACCTTATCGGATACTTGTTTTTGTGCGCCGAGACTTGACAATAGCCATCCACATCGCGTCCCTCATGAGCTGCCATTTTTCCAGATCGACATCGATTGCTTCACTGTTCGTCGTCGGGTGTATTGTCGGACCTACAATCGCCGGAAGACACCCGATAGTCAACTCGCGGCTCGAATCGCCGCCTCATTATCTACGGGTTGGATGATGAAGTCATGCCGCGTCGCCACCAGTTTTAGATCCCCAAATTCGAGTCACCGCCGCCATAATTCTTCAATTGTCTTCAAGAGGAGAGATATGTCTGCGAGAATCAGTAATGAAAAGAAAAACTGGGTCTGGATTTTGGTTTATGGTGGTCTGTGTATTTTAGTGTGTGATGACTACAATTGGGAAAAGAAACCGTGAAGAGATAAGAGAGAAAAAGAGGTTTAATTTGTGGAATATAAAAATAGTTAATGACGTATTACTGGAAGGATGGATATCAAAAAGGAATGAAAACCTTGATCTCGTTATTCTGTCTGTAATATAAATAGTTCCCGTCCACGAGGTAATTATTTCAAAACTCTTGAGGGAGAGCTTTGCCGTCCTTGTAGTCCTACCCGGCTCGATTCTGGATTAGTCGGTTCCCATGTGGATTCAGAAACCGGAAGGTCCCTGACCAAAAAAATAAATAAATTAAGTTTACCGTATTCACGAGGGTACCCAACCCGACCCTAGTAGAACAAACCCGATTCGGATGAAACTCATTCGTGTTCGTGACCCGTGAGACGAAGCGCCGACTAACACAAGTAACAATAGTACATAATTAACAGTCTTCTTCCTCCATTTTGCCTCTTTAATCTCTATATCACTTGGTTGCCCCTTCCTTTCACTCACTTTCCCTTTCGTCTGTCTGTGATTCTTCATCTGAAATCTAGGTTTCATCCCCGTTTTCCCCATATCTGATGGCTTCACCGTCTCAAGCTAGCCTCCTTCTTCAGAAACAGCTCAAAGGTATGAATTTAGAAATCAATTTTTCCCTGAATCGACTTCTGGTTGGTGAATAGACCTAATTGTGCAGCTTCGAGTTTAATTTTGATCGTGTTAATGATCTACTCTTTTTCCTGTGCAGATCTGTGCAAAAACCCTGTGGATGGTTTTTCTGCTGGTTTGCTGGATGAGAGCAACCTGTTTGAATGGAGTGTTACCATAATCGGACCTCCAGACACTCTTTAGTTAGTTTTGCTTCTCGTATCTTTATGTTTTGGAAATGTTTATTTCTTTACTTGAAATGAGTTTTGGATGCTCTGTTGCTCTTGATTATGAAGATTGGGGAATCTCGGGTCTTGTGTTTCTGCCTGTTTGCCTGTGAAGATGATGCTAGTGCTGGGGATTGTGTTTTGTGGTTCTATTTCCTTATTTGCTTTCATTCTCAAGTCATATTATTAGCTATGTGAATGGTTGGTAGTGCTGGTTTAGTTTGTTTTGTGCTGGTGGTTGTGCTCACATCTTAAGCTATTATTTGCATGACATCATTATCTACCCTGAGTTTTATGCAATTGAATGAGAACCAAGTTGCAAAGCATCCACCACTGAGATGAGACATTCAGTCGCATACTACCTTCCTTTGGTTATAGTTGGTCTGGGGTCGTTACTTGTTTGCTAGATCTGCACTGTGATGAATCTTTATTGAAAATTAGAACCTCGCTGTCCAGTTTCGGTGACTCTAGTCTTACAATCCTCAGCTATTCTAAATGAAGCATGGGTCCTTGTTGCTTGGCTATTGGTGGAGAAAAAATTATCACTTGCAAGGTCCAAATAATGTAAAGTGTGAAAAAAAATCCCTCATGAGAAAACAGAACTGAATCAATCTTGATTAATTTTGTGTCTTGTGTGAAATGCATGTCTTTCTACTAGTACTGTCAAATATTTCACTTTTTTATTTTGTGTGTGGTGGTGGTTAGAACTATACTGATAAAGTTTTATATATATATGTGTGTGTGTGTGTGTGTGTATATATATGTAGAGAGAGAGAGATGGAGATTTTATCCAGTATTTCATCCACCGATAAAAGATGCTTTATTAATCCATTTCACTTTTTCTACACTCTACTCCACTCACATTTTCAATGCCATTTTTAATTAAAAGTCAACCATAACACATTTATCTATAAAATGTACTATTATTTGTCTGCTCACATATTTATGACTACCAATCATTATTTTACTATTTCTCGGTCACATTACAATTAATTATTTTTTTTTATGTTACATCACTAATCATTGATTCTCCCTCTACATTTCTTTTGTCAATAAAAAAACCACTCAAATGGAAGTATATTCACTCGCACCCATGTGGTGCTAGTTCACCCAAAAGAGCTTGTTTCTTCGAATTTGATATTTATACAAATTCATTGTTTATGGGGTTGCAGTTCTCTTATCAATTGGCTCCTGTAATGGTAAAATCCGGAAACATTCTAGTTATCATTGATCCAACAAGAATATCTTTGCTTAGAACTCATAATACGTGTTTTCATTCTCGACGATCTGTTTTTGAGTACTCTTTGATACAAAGAACCCCTAAGGTTGTAACTAAATTTTCCTTCAGCGTAGATAACATGAAACTCTCTAGAGGGATTGATGTTACAGATGATGAATCCACATGAATAATTTGGATCAAACAGGATATGAGAAAAAAAAAAACATGTAATCTTTATGTAGATCTGGAAGCTCTTTGAACGCATTGTAACATAAGGCATGCTGGATGCATCAATCTTCTTCTATTATAATAACTGGAATTCAAATTGGAGGTGGAACAACTATACAAGAAAAGATATTAACTCTATGGTAATCAATGAAGTGGAAGGTATATCTTAAAGAAGCGCTATGTGTTGTATGTTAATACTGAAATTAACACCAAAATTAATATCTGAGTCTGCGACTGTCTTATCTCGTGAATTGATAGTGATTAAACAACATTGCAGGTATTCTTCTCTGGGTATTTTGCTGTAATATGCTTTGCCATTCTTTGTGGTTGAAGGTCAAAAGTGTAAATAATGAAAATATTTGGTATATCATGTGTGGCATGTCAATTATGTGGATTTGTTCTACTATGTTGCATAACAAAACACGCATACATGAACATATTTGTACGTGTGTTAATGTGTTTAAAACAAGTAATGTGGAAGCAAAAGCTACTTGTTTTAGGGACTTTTGCGTTATTTTGCATAATGCTGAATGATTTAGTTTGTTTTTACATAAAGTTCGAATTGATGATGCTTACTTCAGCGATTTTGATGCTAGGTGTCATGTTGCATGATTTGAGTTTTTATTGCTGTGTTGTTGAATTTTTTACGCAGTGAAGGGGGTTTCTTCAATGCGATCATGACTTTCCCCTCGAACTACCCAAATAGTCCCCCTACTGTGAGATTTACCTCAGAGCTTTGGCATCCTAATGGTTTGTTTTTTCTTTTTTACGAAGCTGCATAATGATTGTTTTGGATTTAGCCTTTTGGTGAATTGAGATTGAGAGTTTTGTTAAAATGTAGTTTACCCTGATGGGAAGGTTTGTATTTCAATTCTTCACCCCCCTGGAGATGATCCAAATGGCTATGAGCTTGCTAGTGAGCGGTGGTCTCCTGTCCACACGGTATGATCTATCGGATGAGTTTGCTTGATCACATTTTTTGTTACGTCAGTTAGTGGTTTTGATTTTCAAAATCTTATCTAGAAAAGATTGCCTATGTAACAGAAGCTGTTGCCTTTCTAAACTTGTAACCTTGTTTATATTACCACTGAATATATTTAGAATTTTATGAAATTTCTCTGACATTCTTCACAATTAAAACTGAAATATTAGAAGTTTATCTATCATTTCTGGCACAGAGGTTTCAGGGACCTGATCATTATTTTTTTTCATTTTGGATTGAACTTTTTAAGCATTAAAGTTATTTCTATTAGATCAAACTCTCACATCATGCTTTTCTATGCTTAATTTCTTGCATAAATTGCACACTATTAGTTCTTGGAGACGTAAGATGTAAGAATTTGACTGTCGTGAGAATTTGACCATTGTGACATCCCATGCAATGAAATATAAGGTTTTGGTGGTTTATGTTTCTGAGGGAACATTTCCATTCTCATTTGATTCATAGTTCAACCTTTCTGATTTCTATAGAACTATCTTAAACCTGTAACCCAATTACTCAACTTTTACGCTATCCTCAGTCACTTTCAATTATTTCCTTTTATCTTTTCACTCGCTATACTTGGGGGAGCCACCTCCTCCAAACCAATGTACTTACAATAATTTTATTTCAGAATCACATTCATTGAACAGGACCCCCCCCCCCCCCCCCCCCCNNCCCCCACCCATAACCTTGCTAATATGGCATTGTATACTGAAATTGTAAATATGTAATATTGAAAGTGGATTCTAGTTTCTACCACTATTAACTTTTTGAATTATCATACACTGGAGTCTAGTTTCTACCACTATTAACCTTTTGAATTATCATACACAATGCCTCTTTCAGAACTATTCAACCAGATGCCTTCAATCTGTATTGTATAAATCCTTTTCCTTCATTCGTTAGAATGTAGTTGCCATGTTCAAAATGATGGATGATAAAATCTCAAAATCAGTTTCGAATTCAAGATCGAGATGGATAATGGAGGCATAACCATGCGAGCTCTAGATTTTCTTTAGGTTTGATAATCACCACCCTAAGAGAAGTAATCGTCCGAAACATTTGTTTTCTTTGTTGGTTAGTGACTCTGATGTCTCTATCTTGGATTCTAAATTAAATTCTAAAAACTTAAACAAACAAATATATAACTTTTATGAGCTTTCACCTACTTATTTTTTCAATCCACTTGATGTTTTTCATTTCTCTTGGAAAGTTCAGTATTTCAATAATATTTTTTATATTAATTTTTTTATTCGTTAGAATTTGTTGTTTTGGGATAAAATAGTGTTTCTTAATCATAAACTTGGATGACGTAATTTTGTCTCGTACATGTTACAAATGTACAATGATCATTCTTTGATGCAACATGCACTGATTTATTAGCCCTTAGTTCTTTTTTTTTTTTTTTAAATGTTGAGAAACATGTTGAAAATTCATCCTGTTGCAATATCATGCATTGTGAAAGCTCTCTAATATGTCATTATTGGAGTGGTCTGGGGCTTGATGATTGGAGTCCATGTTTTCCTTTTCTGGATTTTGTATTTTCAGTATTACCACTTTTAAAAAAGAGTGTATCTACTGATCTGGATTCAGTTGGGTCAAACCATGACATTGAATTCATTTCAAGTCATCCACAGAAGATTTTGCCGATCAACTGTTGGCATCGACAATAATCTAGTAACATTAACTTATTTTAACAACACGAACTCATTATTATAGATTCTTGAAGTATAATCTTTTATGCCCACTCACAGATTATGTGGAGCTTAAGTTATTACTAATTGCACAGATGAGACTTGGCCATCTTGGAAGAGTTTGATATCGAATTACATATTTGTTATGCCAGTCAGTTTCAAAACATACGGATGGATGAGTTGCAAAATAGATTGATCTTTTAGATATTGAAAATTTGTGTCGGTTGGTTTGTCGTATGGATTTTGCTTCCCTGTTTCATTTCTCATTTTCATTCTTTTTTTTGGAGGTGGATTGATGAGTAGGCCGTGGGGGACAAAGGGGTGTTATAAGTTTGCATGTCTATGCGCTAGGAAATTTTGTTTCACATGTTCTGCCATACGTTGGATTTTGTTATAAAGTTCACCATAAGTATGTTTATGGCCACGTTGATATGTTTCTTTGTGAAACACGCTTAATCAAAAATTTCAGGTGGAGAGCATTGTTCTAAGCATCATATCAATGCTGTCAAGCCCTAATGATGAATCTCCGGCCAATGTTGAAGCTGCTGTAAGTGATAATGGATTGAACTTTCTGTTTATACTCTTGAGTTGGCTTCCTTTTCAGTTTTCCACTCTTCTTCCTTTCTTTGAAGTTCTTTTCTCAACTTGCTGTTTTTTTTTTTTTTGGCATCTGAATGAGGAAACCTATTTTTAACTTTCCATATGTATTATTACCAGGAAATGGTGCTTTTCCGAAGCGATACAGTTTGTTGATGAAAGCCAATTTATCAATCAAATATGAATAGTACAAGTCCTATTGCAGTTGATCGAAATAAAGATAATTTTACACATGGATTCCAAATTCCAATTTATTTCATTTTTGCCGTGTGTTGATTCTTGCAGAAGGAGTGGAGAGAACAAAGAGATGATTTCAAGAAGAAAGTTAGTCGATGCGTGAGAAAGTCACAAGAAATGCTGTGACAAATTCCCGACTGTTGCTCAGCGCTATAAAAGAGAAGTCTGGTGTCAAGTGAAGAATCAAGCTTCTTCTGGCTTTAAGTTTCGCACGAACAATGCAGTTTTAAATGACCACAACTTTTTTTTTTTTGGGTTTGATATTCAATGCAAGTTGTGAAGTATAGACCGAACGATACGAAATGGAACTGTGGATTGTCCTTTATGTTGGTGGTCGTACTCCATTGTTTGTTGGTCGCGACTTTTTGTCATCTGCTTTTCTTGCCTTGAACACATTACATTCCTCCTGGTTTCGTTTTTCAGTTCATTGCATTAATTCCAGCATTAGTGCAGTACATTTGTTACACATGGGATGTTGAATTAAAAATAGGTGAAATATTTTAAAAAATAGAAGTAAATGTTTTCATCTTGAAAATTAACACTTCTTTATTACACAGGGTATTATTTATTGTTTTTTAAAAGAAAATTATGATTGGAATTTGTTAATAACTTTAATATTGACTATGTGTGATAATGATTTATTATTTCAATTCATAGATAACTCTTGTACAAGCAAAAATACATTTATTCTTTCAATTCATATATTATATGATTTTAAATATGTTCTTATATATTGTATATTAGTTTTATTTAAAACGCCTTAACATGATTATTAATTAGGAGTTTTTTCAATACAAGGCCTGGAAGATGGGTAAATTATTAATTCGGGGCTAAATGAATTTTTTTTTTTCAATTCGGGACCTAAATGTTATATGAGTGTTGTTAATTGTATGACTTAATTTGATAATTTTATAACATTTAGGTCCCGAATTGAGAAAAAAATCTTTCAGGCCCCAAATTGATAGTTTACCTATCTTTTAGGCCTTGTATTGAAAAAACTCATTTCCTAATACAATTGTAGTATTGTTATCATTTTATATATAAAATACAGAAGTTAAAATATGACTAATTTGATACGTATGCACATTAATAATAGAGAAAATTATTAAATTTATGAATATATATATAAAAATATAATAATTTATAGTATATAATATTTTCTTCAATTAAATTATTATGTAAAATAAAAAGATTAAAGTTCTTTTTTTTTCCAAACGAAAATTATATTAATAACTTAAAAACTCAGAGAAGTACACCCGAAGTGTCAAATGACACACTGGAACCAGAAGACTGGACCACCCCCTTATCACACAAGGGGTACAAACTCCATAATGGAGGCGAACAACCACAAAAAAAAAACCACAAAACAAAAGCAGACACAGCTGCACTAGAAACAGACAAAGCTGAACTAAAAGCAGACAAAGCTGCACTAAACGAACAAACAAAAACACAAGAAATAAAAAAAAAAAAAAAAACAACTCACACCTAATTATTAAAATAAAGCCCTCCCCGGCCACCGACAAACTACACATACACTACAACCTCATAAGCCAACAAATCGAAGAAATCTACATAGACGAACCCCACCAGCCTAGAATACCAGTCTAAAAACTCCGCACTCCAAATCGGCTACGTCTATCCAGATCTGAGATTCTCAACCTCAAAAAGGCCATCAATGCAAAGATACCGCTTCAATCAACGCTGAGGCACAACCCACGCTCCCGCTCCCCACACACATCAAAGACCAAACCGCAACTCGCCGTGAAGACCAGCTCTTGAGAAATATTAAAGTGATTAAAATAAGAGAGCGATGATGTAAAGTGATGGTTAGATAAAATTATATGACCGGTGAACTGTGAATTAGAGTTGGTGAACTATGGAGCCATCGGATGACTTGGCTTACGGAGCCATCCACAATTATTCACAAATAATGTATTGACACGTGTACTGCAATAAATGTACATTAGACATGTGTCAATACATAAAGTTATGGATGACTCCATAAGAGAGCCATCTGATGACTTCATAGAATTTCTATATATAATTATATTGATAATATTGAGGATAATAGAGTTGAGTTAAAGTTAAGTTAAAAATTGTGATTAAGTTAAAAATGATTATTATTATTATTATTATTATTTTAGATCAAATCCATATTCAATCACATGTTGGATATTTGGTTGTGAAATTACACAAGAATCCTACGAACTGATATGTATTTTTTTCAGTTCTTACAAGTAATCTAAAAATAGAAAATTGCAATTAAACTGAAAAATAAATTACAACTGAAAAAACATAAAGATTTTAGCCGAGACGAGTAAAACTCTTTCCGCAAGAAGAATACGCCCCGTGTGGCAGCTAACGGTTCAGGCGCAACTTCCCCAAAGATACAACGACAAACGTCTCTAAATCTGTAGCACACCAGATTTATGAGCTCCGGCGAACGGGAACGGAATCGAGAATTGAGCACTTAGTAATAAAAGAAATATTCTGAAACAAATAAAAATATCACTTGTTTTTTCTCTTTTGATATTTTTATATCCGTTATTTGGACATATATTTTTCTTTATTTCCTTTCTTCTCTCTTTCTTTCAGAATTTTTGTACGCCTTTCTTCAATCTGGCCGAGGCTATTTATAGGTGCAATTTTGGATTCCTTCACATGCTTGATAATGCTTTTACAGCTCTCTCACTCCACATGCATGAAGATGCTTTTACAGCTTTCACTAATAGCACATTCACATGGTTAAGATGTTTCCACATGTTCACATGTTAAAGTAGCATCAATAATTAAAAAGTTGGCTCAATTTACACTTAATAATTACATCAATCCCCCACATGAGTGTAAATTATATACATGTAGACTAGGTGCTCAATACTCACAAAACTCTATTACATCAGAAAAGGTAGCTTTTGGCTTTGAACCTTTCTTAGTGAACATCATCGGATGCACTGGCGGCCTAGTGGACATAATGCCTTGAACTATTCCTCCATAGTGTACACCGAGACAATGACATTCACACAATAGAGTTTGATCTCCATTCTGTTCTAACGTTGTGTCCGTTTTGGCCATGGACAACACTTTGGATTCATAAGTGTTTACATTTGAAGCGGCCCACACTTCACACTTATATAGGTGACCTCCCTATCAAGAGTAGGGATTCATTAAAAGTCCACATGACTTACCCTCACCACAATCAATAGGTAATCTAGCACTTGGAATGCTCTAGGGAATAGATATGGACATTCATGTGTTCCAAGCGCTCAACTGAATTTTCATAGCTTAGTTTTCCCTTTGAACCAAGTTCGTGGGATCTCCACTCAGCATGGTAGGGTTACCATCATGATCATTCTTTGCATTGTGGATTTTTAAGCCCATTTCCTCTAGCAAAACTGCCAATTGATCTCTGTTCAATCCTTTCGTCAAAGGATCAACCAAATTTTCCTTAGACTTCACATAGTCAATGGAAATAATACCATTTGTGATCAATTGACGTACGGTATTATGTCTACGACGTATATGTCTAGACTTACCATTATACAAGTTGCTTTGCGCCCTACCTATAGTAGCTTGGCTATCACAGTGAATCATCACAGGTGGCAAAGTCTTATCCCAACATGGAATATCGGATAAAAAATTTCTAAGCCACTCGGCTTCTTCACCAGCTTTATCTAAAGCGATGAACTCCAATTCCATCGTTGATCGAGCTATACACGTTTGTTTTGTGGATTTCCACGAAACTGCACCTCCTCCAATACAAAAAACATATCCGCTAGTGGAGCGAGAATCTCTCGAATCTGATATCCAGCTTGCATCACAGTACCCTTCAAGTATGGCTGGATATCTCGAGTATTTTAGCCTGTATTCAACGGTGTACCTCAAGTACGTAAGCACCCTTCTCAAAGCATTCCAGTGTTCATGACTGGGATTGCTCGTAAATCTGCTCAACTTATTCACCGGATAGGCCAAGTCTGGTCGTGTACAATTCGTCAAGTACATCAGACTCCCTATTATCCGTGAATATTCCAACTGAGCCATTGGTTGACCTTTATTGACCACCAGATTTATACTGAGATCAAGGGGTGTCTTACACATATGCCTAGACTGTGCACCGTCATAGACATCGAATTTCTTGAGCACTTTCTCTACATAATGAGATTGTGACAAGACAATTCCATCTTGGGTTCTGATAATCCTTATTCCAAGAATAACATCAGCCAAACCCATATCTTTCATGTTGAAGTTTCTCTTCAACATTCTTTTCGAGTCCATGATCACTTCATGGCTACTCCTCATGATCAACATATCGTCTACATATAGACATACAATCACAAATGTATTTGATGTACTCTTGACATAAACACATTTGTCACATTCATTGATTTTGAACTCATTTGACAACATCACATCATCAAATTTCAAATGCCATTGTTTCGGAGCTTGTTTCAGTCCGTACAAGGATTTGATTAATCTACACACCTTTCTCTCTTGTCCAGGTGCAACAAACCCTTCTGGTTGTTTCATGTATATTTCTTCTTCCAATTCACCATTCAAAAATTCCGTTTTGACATCCATTTGGTGAATCTCAAGATTATGCAAAGCAGCAATCGAAAGAAGCACTCTTATCGACGCTAAACGCGTAACTGGTGAATAGGTATCAAAGAAATCATACCCTTCCTTTTGTTTAAAGCCTTTGACCACCAAACGCGCTTTAAACTTGTCAATCGATCCATCAGCTTTATATTTCTTCTTTAGGATCCACTTGCATCCTAAAGGTTTACAACCATCAGGGAGATCAACTAACTCCCAAGTATGATTTTGCATAATGGACTCGATTTCGCTATTTACAGCTTCTTCCCAGAGTGGTCCATCTGGGCTGGACAGAGCTTCCTTAAGGGAACTCGGTTCATCGTCCAACATGTTCGTAATAAAATCAGGTCCAAACGTTTTAGCCGTTTTCACCCTTTTACTACGTCTCGGTTCTTCATTAGTACCCTCTGGTACAGAACCACTAGTAGTTTCATACGTTCTTTTATTAGAATTAGATTATGCCCTTTCCTTCATAGGAAAAACATTCTCAAAGAATATAGCATTCTTTGACTCAATCGTGGTACCAACAGATACCT